TCTTTAGCACTCTGAAGAGGTCCCTGACAGCAGATTTTCATAATGCAATCATCTTCTGATTTCCTCATTATTGGTGCCAAGAATGTTGATTGTGAAATCAAGCAAGCTAAAATTACTAACAACCTCAATCTCTTTCCATCTATCATGATGCTGCCAATGGGCCCAGTAGTGAGAATCTTTGTCCTCTTGATGATGAGCTTCAATCTGTATTGAAGACTACAGTCCTTGAACTGCAACAAACATTTCAGATCCTACTCAGGTACAGCCAGCAAAACTGTGTCATCTGCATAATGCAGGTTGTTGATGAATCTTCCTCTAATACTGATGCCACATTCCTCCTCATTAAGTCCAGCCTCTCAAATTATCTGTTCTGCATATAGATTGAAAAAGTATGGAGATGGGATGCATCCTTGACACACTCCTTTCCTGATTTTGAACTATTCAGTGTTTTCTTGTTCTGTTCTGAGGACTGCTTTCTGGTCCAAGAATAGATTTTGCATGAGCATAATCAAATGTTCTAGGAGTCCCATTCTTCTCAAATTTAGCCACAATTTGCTGTGATTCATACAGTAAAATGCCTTTGTATAGTCAATGAAACACTGATCTACATTCCTCTGGTATTCTTGGCTTTCAGCAAAGACACAGCTGACATTGGTGATAATGTTTTTAGTGTCACAGCCTCTTTTACTCAGTTTGCATTTCTGAAGTTCTCAGTCAATGTTCTGTTCCAGTCAGTTTTGGAAAATCTTTAGCAGGATTTTGCTTGCATGTGATATTCATGATATTGTTCGATAATTGAGACAATTTCAGATCACCCTTTTTTGGAATGGGAATAAATATGGATCTCTTCCAGTCAGTTGGCCAAGTAGTTGTCCTCTAGATTTCTTGGAAAAATCTGGTGAGTATATCCAGGGCAGGATCTGTTTGTTGAAATATGTCAATTGGTATTTCATCAATTTCTGGGGTCTTGTTCTTTGTCAATTCCTTCAGAGTAGCTTGAACTTACCATACGTCGTTTCATGAAATTCTTACAGGTCAGCTACTTCTCTTTGCCTGTGTGAGTATGTGTACTACTTCCATTTCTTTTGATGCTTCCTGAATCATTCAGTATTCTGTCCTTAGCATCCTTAAGTACTGCAACTCAAGGCTTGTATTTGTTCTTCACTTCCTTTAGCTTAAGAAATGCAGAGGGAGTTCACCCTTTTGCTTTTTTTTGTTTGTTTGTTTGTTTGCCCCTTTTGACGTCCCAATTCTCCCTGGCTCTTAGACACTAGAAAATGAAAATGGATTTTAAAACATTTTAAAAACTGGAGTGTAAATTCTCTTCATATCTTTTGCCCAGTTAGTAATTCGGTAATCAGTCTTTTTCTTGTGGCGGCCCAGGAGATGGTATTGTCAAATGTTCGTTCCCAATGGGTAGGTTTTCTTTTCACCCTATTGGGAAAAGTTTTTGATGCACATGGCCAACAGACACATGAAGAAATGCTCCAAATCACTGGCAATAAGAGAGATGCAAATCAAAACCACAATGAGATAACACCTCACTTCAGTAGCAGTGACAAAGTTTAGCAGGACAACAAGTAACAAATGTTGACGATGATGCGGCAAGATAGGAACCCTCATACACTCTTGGTGGAATTGTAAAATGGTATAACCATACTGGAGGGTAGTTTGGCATTTTTCCCAAAAGCTGAACATAGATATTCCATATGACCCAGCTATTCCACTGCTTGGAATATACTCTGAGAAAATGAGACACAAATGGAGACTTGTACACCAATTTTTATAGTGGCATTATTCACCATTGCAAGAAGATGGAAACAACCCAGATGTCCAACCACAATGGAATAGATTGAGAAATTATAGTACATCCATACAATGGAATACTATGCAGGAGCAATGATTTTGTAAATTATTACCTAACTTGGGAGGGACTAGAGAGCATTATGCTGATTGAACTAAATCAGTCCCATAAAGACAAATATTGTATAAAACCAATATTGTAGAATGAGTATGAGGATCCAAGGGTGAGCAGGGTGGAAGCAGAGGACGAGGATGGGTGGTGGGAGTGTGTGTGCAGTAATCATAGGGTTGTACAATTTGATGGGGGGGGTGAAGGAAACGGGAAAGATATGGTGTGAAAAATAATGTATTCAAACTTTGTAAATAAACCAGTATAAAATTTTAATTTTTTTCAAAAAAAATAGAGTATAAGATGATATGTTATGTGGAACGATAATAATGACTTTTTAAAATAGATAAGTGAATAAAATACTTTTCTCAATTACCTTGCTGTTTCTAATCACATATAAGTTTTAAACCAGATACTACTTGTGATCTTTTTTTCCATTTACTGATAAAGTATTCAGGGCAGTCTCACCTCTAATTAGGAAAACTTGGGAAAGGGAAAACCTGAAGCAAAAACACTATATGCCTTATGGTCCTCCTGTAAGTAACCCTTCAAGCAGTAAGACAGACTCAAGAACGCCACCTTGACTATGAGAGGACTCCTTGCCCCTGGAAGTTCCATCACATAGATTCACATCAGCTTATTGGCATGAAATCTCAATATTTCTAAATTGAAGACACACACATATCGCATGATGTCCTCCAAATTAGTGTTAGTAGGTTTTCTTTCTCCTTTTCCATTCCTGTATCTTCCAAAGCTTCCCAAAGGGATGTAAGTCTTCTGGAAAATATTTATAACATCCATTGGTCAGCAGGAATGTGGATGAGTTCCTAATTGCTGCCTAAATTCTCTGTTTTTTCAAGTTCCACTAGAACCACTGAAAATCTTGAGTTGAGGAAGGGCTTTGTGTCTGAGTTAAAACAGCAATTGGTAGATTAAGGTGCACCTCATCCAGGCCATAGTCTTTGCAATTACTTGCTATGCGTAAGAAAGCTGGGCAATGACTAGGGATGATGGAAGGAGAATTGATGTCTTTGAGCTGTGGTGCTGGAGAAGAGTATTAAATATACCATGGACTGCTAGGAGAACAAACAGGTTTGCCCTGGAGAGGGTGAAACCAGGCTGCTCCTTGGAGGCAAGGATTCTGAAGCTTCATCTGACTTACTTTGGGCATGTTGAGAGGATGGACTAGTCCTTGAAGAGGGACATCATGCTTGGAAGGGTGGAGGGACAGCACAAGAGAGGAAGATCCTCCATGAGATGGATTGATTCAGTGACTGGGGTAACAGGGGGAGGTGTGTTGGGGACAATGAGGTTGGCACAGGATAGAGCAGGGTTTAGAGCTGTTGTACACAGGGTCTATGTACAACTATGAGTTGCAGGTGATTCAGCAGTGCATAACAACACATATCTCTAGGGAACTCTGGTGGCTTAGGGTAAAGAGTTGTGCTGTCAACCCAAAAGCCAGCAAATCCATCAACTGCTCCAGGGGAGAAAGATGACCTCTTGTTTGATTTTCCAGCCACTGAAAAACTTTCTGAGGATCTTCTCTGACTTAAGAGTATGTAAGAGAAGAGCACATATCTTTGATAGGTCCTGAGTGGCACAAGTTGTTAGCTGGCTTGGCTGTCAGTCACCTAAAAGGATCGAGTCTACTCAGCAGTGCCTCGGAATAAAGATCTGGCATTAATCCTTCAAAACCCATGCAACACACTTCTACTATGATAAACATCTGAGTCGACTTGACAGCCACTGGCTATATGTCTGCCCCTTTCTTTAGAAAGTTCTTCTCTCTCACTATCTGGGTTGTCTTTCTACTCTATCCATTCAGGGAAACCAAGAGGAGGAGACCTTTGAATGAAAGGTGTGTCTGTCCTGCCTTTTTGTAGGCTTCTGTGGATCTAGAAGCCTTCATCTAAACTGTATACAATTTTCAAGTGGGCCAGAGAAGCCTGTGTGCCAATTCTCCAAGAACGATTCCATTCTTGGCCATAGCTCCAATAACTGACAGCAAGCGGTGGTGGAAGGGAGGAGTGCATCGTTTGAAGAGCACATTCTGAAATCTTCAGATGGGTAGTGATGAATCATTCCTTATGACTTTCAGGACAGGAATCCGATTTGACTAATCATCCGATAGAAACTTATTTCTGCCTCAAATATCTTAAATCTGACTGCAACAAACAAACGTCTCTTAGGAACACACATGTCATCGTCTAAAGAAAGGTTCTTCGGTAACTGGAAACCAGTCATCTCTTAAGACAGGCGCGCACGCGCACACACACACACACACACACACACACACACACACACACACACACACCCCGCTTGTCACACAACACTCCTACACAAGAAAAGTGAAATTGCTGTTTGGTGAATGTAAACTCGTGGGTGTTTCCAAAAGTTAGGAGTTCTGCCAAGTGTCAGTCCCAAGAGCGGGAGGTGGACCCGAGAGGTTACCCAGGCCTGAGGCTGGAATCCTTATTTGGTGAAACCACTACCTGCGCCCTGATAGGGCCAGCCTGATAGGGCTGGACCAAGCTGGGGAAGGATGGCTGCTGACGTCCCAGCCCGAAGGGATGAATGGAATTCCAGGCAGCTGGAGTCATGCTGGCTTGGGACAGTGGCTTGGAGACCTCTCTTCCAATGACAGAACCACTGGGCAACAGCTCTCATGGCAATGTGTGCACCCACAAATATGTAACCCACAACTCGGTTTAAGGAGCCGAAAAAATGAGAAGAACGTTTAGCGAGGAGAGGGAAAATAAAATGATAGGCAGCGAGTAATTTATTACTCCACGGTTCTGTTCTGTAAATAGCTTAAGACTCTGGGGCCAGATGGTTCTGCAAATTCTCCAGCCGGGAGTCACGTTAAGAAGCACGAGTGGGCACAGAAGCTGTTTTTCAAGACATAATTTCACTTTTGGCTTGAGGGAACTGGATCCGAGCTCAGTTTCCTTAAAACTCTTGACTAGAAAGAGCGCTCGGTCCGCTCATCGGAACTCGCATACCGCCCCCTCGCGGCGAGGAATGGAAGGGCGGCGGCCGAGCGCGCGCCCCGGCGACCGCGCCGGCCCCCAGGTCCTAGGGCCGGACTCCGCGTGCACCTCCCTCCCGGGCAGGTGAGGGGCAGCCCCGGGCGGGGGTCTCCCCACCCCGCCTGGACAGGTGGAGTCCCCAAGCACCCAACAGACATTTTGTTTCAGCACTGGTTTCCCTCTTGGGATGTTTCATCAGGTTCTTTTTTCTTTATGCACAATGAGACCCCTTCCCCAAGCGTCCACCCCCTCTGCCATCATCCAGGCATTCCAGGAGGCGCGTGTGCCTGAAAGCACCCCACTAAGATTGGGGGGGGTGGCGTGGCGCAAGAGAGTGCCGAGCCGGCGCGCGGGCCGCGTGGGCGGCCACCAGGGGCCTGAGAAGTGGCCGGACCCCGCGGGCCCCGAGCCCTGCCTCCCCCTCGTCACTTGCAGGCAGGAGAGCGGTGCGCCAGGAAGCGGGGGGCGGAGAGAGGAACCCAGACTGCCCCCCCTCCGCTTCCTGCCCGGCCGCCCATTGGCCAGAGGCATCCCCAGGAATGCGCAGACCCTTTATAAAAGCGCACGGCCCGGTGCCTGGGCAGCCACTGCTTCCCAAGCCGGCGACGAGTTCGGATTTCCCACCCGGCTTTCGGGGGACAGCTTCCCACTGCTGCTTCCAGTTCCCTGGGCGCACTGCGCGCCCCAGCGTCCCCAGACCCTCGCCACTCCGCCACTCCGGGCTGCTGCTGCTGTTCACACAGGTAAGCTCCCGCTGGGACACCAAGGGACCCTCAGACCTCCGTCTGCCTCTCTTAACTTCCTATACTCTCTCGTCTGGCCTCTGGGCAGTTCTTTTGGGGATACATTCCAGATCCAGCCTAGGGGTTCAGCAGCTCGCCTCTGGCTCGACGCCCCAGAATCTTTGTCTCTCTCTCTCAGGCTCTCTTTAAACCTTTGTGTCATTCCCATAGGGAAGACTGTTTTCACCCGTGCCCTCAGGAGCCCCTTTAAACGACCTCTCTTACTCTTGCTCTTCTTGATTTCCCGAGAAAAATCCCTGGATTGTTGGTCCGTCGGTGCCCCCCAACTTTTAAAACCACAACCCTTTCCCCTCTCTCTCCCATTTTCTTCCTGCGAAATTCTGAGTGCTCTCATTCCCACAAAGTGGAGCCAAAAAGGGAGCCCCAGTTTCCCTGGTCCCATGCCCAGCTCCCCTGGCGTTGCCCACCCTCCTGCCTCTGACCCTGGCTCTGTTCTTCTGCCGCAGGCTCCTTGCTGGGTGTCAGAAGCTCCACCATGGAGCTGGCCTGGGGGCTCGCTCTCTTACTCCTGCTCCAAGTGTGTAGCGCCAACCGCATTCCAGGTGAGTCTGTAATGAATTTGGGGGGGAAGGCAGAGGAGGAGGTGCTGGTAACACAGGTGTTCTAGATCAAGCTTGAATTTCTAAGGGTGCCCCCACCCCCATGCTCTCCTCTTCCATCTGGTCTCCCCTAAACCCAGGCGCTTCCTAGCCAGGTGCTTATTCATCTCTTTCAGTAGTTGCCAAGAGCTTTCACCCCGTTCCTCTAGCCCGCCCCAACCTCACCCCATTTCCAGCCAAAAAAACTCATCGCATGCTTTGTTCCTCCTTTGCAGAGTCTGGGGGAGACAACAGCGTGTTTGACATCTTTGAACTCACTGGGGCTGCCCGCAAGGGCTCCTCTGGCCGCCGGCTGGTGAAGGGCCCTGATCCCTCCAGCCCAGCTTTCCGTATTGAGGATGCCAACTTGATCCCCCCTGTGCCTGATGACAAGTTCCAAGACCTAGTGGATGCCATACGCGCTGAGAAAGGGTTCCTCCTCCTGGCCTCCTTGCGGCAGATGAAGAAAACCCGGGGTACACTTCTGACCCTGGAGAGGAAAGACCGCTCAGGCCATATCTTCAGCATCATCTCCAATGGCAAGGCGGGCACCATGGACCTTAGCTTTGACCTCCAGGGGAACCAACATGTGGTGTCAGTGGAAGATGCACTTCTGGCAACTGGCCAGTGGAAGAGCATCACCCTGTTTGTACAGGAGGACAGGGCCCAGCTGTACATTGACTGTGAGAAGATGCGAAACACTGAGTTAGAGGTCCCCATCCAAAGCATCTTCACCAGGGACCTGGCCAACATCGCCAGACTCCGCATTGCTAAGGGAGGCGTAAATGACAATTTCCAGGTGAGGCCACTGCTCTGAGCCCTGGGCCCTGGGCCAGTTAACCTATAAACCTGGAGCAGGAGGTTCAAAATTGGAAATTTTGTCTATGTACTAGGACAGTGGTTCTTGAACCTTAGGGAGCTTTAGAATCACTTGGAGGACTTTAAAAGTTTTTTATTCCATAGATTTGCAATAGGGCCTGAGAATTTGCATTTCTAACCAGTTCCAGGTGCTACTGATGGGAATATTGGTAGTCTGGGGACACTGAAAACCTCTAAAGGAAACGAGAAAAGTTTTTTCTACAACTCTTAGCTGTTTAAAGTCTTTAAATGTTTCTTATTTCAAATGCATTCCACCTACTTTAATATTGTTTGAAGTGGGCATTTTATGTGCAAATAATAAATACTATTTGATTCCTCGTGGGAACATAGCCAGTCTCAAATCAAATAAAAAGGTTGAGAGAAAGTAGAGATGTGGTTATATGCTGCTGCAGCATCTTTTCTTAAGTTTTTAGATCTTTGTGGCTTTGAAACTCCCACATGTAAGACTTTGACACCAGAAAGTGTCATTATATCCTCTGGACATAGTATCACATTCCACTTCCTGTGTACCCGAGTGGGCTTCTAACTGAATTCTTTGTAAAATAGTGAAGACTTGGCAGAAGACATGAGATTTTTTAAGTTAGTGGGCTGTTCATATTGGCGTGTTGTTTTGGCATCAGGATCTCAAAATGGATCTCTTTCCAACTTTCAGATAATCTGTGTGCTTTTCCTGTTGTAGACAGTGTTCCTCCCCACCCCTACCCCAACCCCACATTTACAAGTAATGTGTGTCCTCTGTCCACAGGGGGTGCTGCAGAATGTGAGGTTTGTCTTTGGAACCACACCAGAAGACATCCTCAGGAACAAAGGCTGTGCCAGCTGTAAGTACCCTTCTATTTTTAGTGTAAATGGAGAGAAAAAAGATAATTCCATCTAGACAATCTAAAACTTAAGCAATGGTGATGGTGGAATTAATCCCCCCCGGCCATCACAGTTATTAGGTGCACAAAATGGACCTCAAAGGGTCTCTCTCTCTCTCTCTCTTTCTTTCTCTCTCTCTCTCTCTCACACACACACAAACACACACAGGCGCGCACGCACGCGGACATCCCCTGACCCCAAAAAGAGTATCTTTTGCAGCTGAGGACTCTAGAACTGGCTGGAGAAACATGTCTTTGAAGATCTTTTACCTTTGTTTTTTGGCAGCCACCAAAGTTGTGCTCACCCTGGACAATAACGTGGTGAATGGTTCCAGCCCCGCCATCCGCACCAACTACATTGGCCACAAAACCAAGGATCTGCAGGCCATCTGCGGCCTCTCCTGCGATGAGCTGTCCAGCATGGTCCTGGAGCTCAAGGGCCTGCGCACCATCGTGACCACACTTCAGGACAGCATCCGCAAAGTGGTCAGTGGCCTCTGTCCCCCCAGCCCCTTAGTTTAAATCCTTTAAGGCTTATCACTGCTGATCCCAAATGGCTGCATAGGAGGTTAAACACTAATGGCCTTTCTCCCTTCTTTAGACTGAAGAGAACAAGGAGCTGGTCAATGAACTGAGGAGGTCTCCCCTCTGCTATCACAATGGGGTTCAGTACATGAATAATGAAGAATGGACAGTGGATAGCTGCACTGAGTGCCGCTGTCAGGTAAGGAGGCCTTATACACTAAAGTCAGAATTGGTGGCACGTGTGTGAAGCCATAATCTCTGCAGAGGTACCCAAATGGTGACACAACGGGTTTTTTTATGTCTACTGGTCTGATACAAAGGTCAGCTTTTAATGTTGTTATGATGCCAGAATTCCATCAAAATGTCTAAGCCCTCAGAAGTATTTTAAAATTCTTAGTTATCCCCTAGCTTAAGAAAGAGAATAAATCAATTCAAACATTCATATACCTGTGGTAGTTCAAATTCTCAGTGTTGAATGTCAGGTAAATAAAACCTTCTTGGAACATTCCTTCCCCCTCCCCCAATCCTGATTTGTATTCAGCCCTGACAAGAGTTCTTTTAATGCAGGATGGTTTGCTGTTCAGGTCACTTAGCCTGACATTGTTGGGCCATAATTGACTACTTAGTTCGAATGGCACTGCCTACAGTTGTTTCTCTCTAGCTCTCCCCCAGGCCAGGGCCAGGGCTTTGGGGGTTGGCCTGGCCTCCAGAACCAAATTCAGTGTAAATACAAGTCACAGATTGCTGGCTGTGGTTGCCAACATCATTAACTTCCCATTCTTTCCCAGTATAATTTAAAACCAGGTTATTTACAGATGAGAAAAGCAATGCTAAGAGAATGTATTTCTTCCCTCAAATAAAATATAAAAATTTAGAAGTCCCAGCTGAATTTGGTGAGCTCAGTAGATTAGACTCAGGAAGTTTGGTGGTTCCCCTGGAATCAACTCTTCATGCACTGTAACTTCCACCTTTGACTGAGAAGCTGTTAAGAAAGACATCCCCACAGAATGGAGTGACAAGCGACTCGCATTAGAACCGCCCTTGCCATAGTAGAAGCTGAAAAACATGACAGACGGGTCTTCCCCTGGAGTCCTTTCATTGGAACATTTATAGCCCTGGCCATGTTTCAGTTCATAATTTAAATTTATGGCATATAAACTTCTCTTTGCACCATGCTTAGTAACCAATCCCCTCCTCCCTCTTCCCTGCAGAACTCGGTTACCATCTGCAAAAAAGTGTCTTGCCCCATTATGCCTTGTTCAAACGCTACAGTTCCCGATGGAGAATGCTGTCCGCGGTGTTGGCGTAAGTTCTTAAAACTGCATAACCCTTGTTCAGTGACTCGGTGAGGTCTGCATCCATCCTAGCCAGCTGAACAGAACACTGGAACCCCACCTTGTTGCCATCATGTGTTTTCATTCTGGTTCTTACTGTGGCAGCTGGTTGACTGACAACTTGTCTGCTGTAGAGCCAATAACTCCAGTATGACTGAACCTTAATTACCCATCTGGATGACAGTGCAGACCATAACAATCTTGGTACAGCTTGTTGATTCTGATTTTATACTTTGAGGCAAGAAGGGATGAGTAAGTGGCAGCAAGAGCTCTAAGCTGACTGTTTCAAGGATTTGACCTTGGAGTCACAGAACTAAGGAAATCTGCTCATCAAGGAAATGGCTTGGCTTATGGCATAGGCACTGGATTTAACTGGGCCTTAAGTTTTGCTCCTTTTACCTGCAGGAATGGGAGGCCTGACCAAATAACAACAGTTTGACTTTCAGGGCAGTTAAAAAAAAAAAGTCACTATATATTGCTGTATCACCTTATACCTGGTTTTGTTGCCAGTATAAAATCAATCACTTTGCTGAGACAGTAGTCAATGCAATAGGTACAAATCTTAAAAATAATTCATCACAACTAAGGAGAAAGAAAAAAAAAAGGAAAGGAGCACTTGGCTACACACACACACACACACACACACACACACACACACACACACAAAACATATGCCATAGCTCAGAATAGCCAGTCTCATCAGAGTGCCATGTTCTGACGTGTCTGCTTCAAACTATAATGATCATTTGTAGATCTCTTTCTGCTCCACACTGTCTTGTAGTCTCAGTTAAAGGGGAAAAGGGTAGCTGGAAGCTAGCAGAGTTCTGAACTTGAACCAGGGATTGCTGGGAAATTTTCCAACTAATGGCAAAGGAAAACAAATTCTCTCTCTTCTGTTTGGTACGATTCATTGTGATCATAGTCATGGTGCCTGGGCAGCTGGTAAACAAACACATTCTCCTCTTGTGAAAATATGTGCAGTGAAGGCCCAAAACACGAGGGTAAGAGGAACAACAAATTGATTAACCTCATGACCTAGTTGGAGCCAAAGCCAATAGCCACTCAGCTGCCTTCACGCTCATATGTCAAACACATGCTCTGTGGTTCCTCTGAAAGTTAGAAGGGGCTCATGTACGCTGCCCCATTCAGTATTTTTGAAAGCCTGAGGCTGGAAATGCCAGCCCAGGTATCAGTAAGTTGGTAAAGGGAAACCCAGAGGAGAGAACAGTTAAAACAAGGAGTAGAAACTCAAACAGTGCGAAGAGTCAGCAGTACTGATCTGGAAGAAGCATCCCATGATCCTAGAGTTGTAAAAGCAAAATAACCTCCTAGTGATTGGTCTAAGAATTCTATTTTCACCTTTTGGCCAGGGAAGGAAGTTGTTAAGTCTAGAGGATAGCTTGTCTTAATAACCATGCACTGAATGACCTCGTTTCTCCCACAGCCAGCGACTCCGCAGAAGATGGCTGGTCTCCGTGGTCTGAGTGGACCTCCTGCTCGGTGACCTGCGGCAATGGGATTCAGCAGCGTGGCCGCTCCTGTGACAGCCTCAACAACCGGTGTGAGGGCTCCTCCGTGCAGACACGGACCTGCCACATTCAGGAGTGTGACAAGAGATGTAAGCACCTTGGCCCCTGAGGAATGTGAACAGCTGACCTTCCCTGACTGTCAATGCTCAGAGCAGCACCACAGCAGAGAGCTTAACAGGACAGGTTTTAATCTCTCTGGACTCACCTCTGCAACCTGGAGTACAGCTTATAGAACGTCATAGGGTTATTTCTAAGATTTTTATTTAGAGAATGCAGCTAGCATTTATAGTAATGTTAAGATGACTGTGTTTTAACTTTATCCTGCAAAGACCACTAAACATTATCTGTCCTCTGGCTGAAAATCCATGTTGGCATTTGGTATGTGGCCAGGAACCGATTCCTGCCACGCACTAGACTTGGATACCATTGCCCACCATGGCCTGAAGCGCCCCTCTCTGCCCTCAAGGATGGCTGCTGTTGGCGCTATTTCCAACCAACCACATGTGTCGTACTTTAGTTAAACAGGACGGCGGCTGGAGCCACTGGTCCCCATGGTCATCGTGTTCCGTGACGTGTGGTGATGGCGTGATCACGAGGATTCGGCTCTGCAACTCTCCCAGCCCTCAGATGAACGGGAAGCCCTGTGAAGGCGAAGCCCGACAGACCAAAGCCTGCTCCAAAGATGCCTGCCCGAGTGAGTATCAGCGCTGCTATGGGGCTGAGCGCAGGCGGCCACTGCCCCGCTGTGCCCTGCAGCTGAGGGTTATGTGGGGTGAAGGCTACTTCCTGGAGAAACAAATAGAAGCAGAACCCTGCGTGCTCAGCAGCTTCTAATAGAAAACAGAAGGAGGGAGGGAAAGCCTTACTTCAAACTCCCCTTCATCCCACACATTCTTCCCACTTGTCAGGGTGGCAGAAGTTTCTCGAATCGGCTTAGAGGAATCTTCTGTGATAGATACGGTTTTTGGAAACCAACCTCACTTTGGGCCTGTGGTTCATTCTCTTACAGTCAATGGAGGCTGGGGACCCTGGTCACCCTGGGACATCTGCTCTGTCACCTGTGGAGGAGGTGTGCAGAAACGTAGCCGGCTCTGCAACAACCCCACACCCCAGTTTGGAGGCAAAGACTGCATTGGTGATGTGACGGAAAACCAGATCTGCAACAAGCAGGACTGTCCAATTGGTGAGCCTTGTAGCCCAGGAAGAAACCACTTACTCAGTCTGCTGGGACTAATAGCACAGTCAGTATTCAAAGTGGTTCCCAGTTTGAATGCCTTGAATGATTCTTTTAAAATGCAGGTATAGAACATTATCACAGTCTAGCTGAGTAGCAAAGCTAGACCTTATTATGCCTCACACTGTGTTGTTAGTGTGTTAGTTCTTGACAAGCATGCAAGAATCAGGATCCTAAGATAACCATTTACCTCTCTTGCCTTGTCTCAGATGGATGTCTGTCCAATCCCTGCTTTGCCGGGGCCAAGTGTACTAGCTACCCTGATGGCAGCTGGAAATGTGGCGCGTGCCCTGCAGGTTACAGTGGAAATGGCATCCAGTGCAAAGATGTTGATGAGGTGAGGAACTGATGGCTTAGAGTCACAACATCTCAGAAAGCAGCTCACCCTTCCTAGTCATTCTCCCATGGCAATGTTCTCTGAGGCTAACTTGTCCTTTCTTCCACAGTGCAAAGAAGTGCCCGATGCCTGCTTCAACCACAACGGAGAGCACAGGTGTGAGAACACGGACCCCGGCTATAACTGCCTGCCCTGCCCACCCCGCTTCACTGGCCCGCAGCCCTTTGGCCGAGGCGTCGAACATGCCACTGCCAACAAACAGGTACGGTAGACTGGCTGCGTCGACTAGAGTGGTGGTGCCTCCCACTGAAACAATGAGGAGAGGGAGGAATGTAATTTATTACATACGTATAAAAATAAATTTCAAATTAACCAAGGAAGGAAGATGAACATACAATCTAGTTTTAGAAATATGACTAGGAAATTTTTGGGTCAGGTCAAATGGGAAGACTAGGCTTCCATATTTGAAAATGTTGCCCTGAAATAATTTGTGTACAGATGAATTTGTAAATGCCTGTGTCCTGGGTGACAGAATGGAAAAAGAGAAAGCAGCGTTTAGCCTGTAGCATGAAAAGCACCAGGGGAGAGTTCTAGAAGGTAGCCCATATGCTCCGACAAAGCACCTCCTTGGAGATAACAGGGCTATGATTCATGGTATGGCAGTCTCTGGGTTAACCTTAGGATGTTGTACTTTCAGGTGTGTAAGCCCCGAAACCCCTGCACGGATGGGACACACGACTGCAACAAGAACGCCAAGTGCAACTACCTGGGCCATTACAGTGAGCCTATGTACCGCTGTGAGTGCAAGCCCGGCTACGCAGGCAACGGCATCATCTGCGGGGAGGACTCGGACCTCGACGGCTGGCCCAACGAGGACCTGGTCTGTGTGGCCAACGCTACTTACCACTGCAAAAAGGTACAAGCCACCTTCCCTCCTGCACCTTTAGAAAGAAGTCAGCATTGCTTGTACCAAACAAGCATGCCGGGGCACCTTTAGATATTCAAAGCTTAAAGTATCAAAAGGCAGAGACACACTAGTTTTAATTAGTACTAACTTGGCACCAAGAACTTGAATGAGGCGAACTCTTTCAATGATTGCACTCCAAAGACAGTTCCTTTGTTCACAATGTCTAGAAAGCAAAGAGCACTTAGACAGTCTGAAGAAACACAAGAAAGAGTTTTATTTAGTGTATGTGTGTATACACTATAAAAAAAAAAAACACAACCACCACAACAACCCATGCTGTTAGAGAGTAACATTGCATTCTTTTTCTACTTGGAGTGTCTGGGTGTCTGCCTCATGTGTGAGCTGAGCTGAGGAAGGCAATGTCAGCTGTAACGTGCGTCTTCTCTTTTCCAGGATAACTGCCCCAACCTTCCCAACTCTGGGCAGGAAGATTATGACAAGGATGGAATTGGAGATGCCTGTGATAATGACGATGACAATGATAAAATCCCAGATGATCGGGTAAGAACAAATTGCTTCCCTCTTTCGTTTCATCTTCTCTATTCAGCAGCTGCCTAGTAGTCTGAAACACTTTAGGATTCAAGGAAACTTTAGTGTTGCAAAGACACACACACAAAAGAGCCCAGGCTGGTATCTAAGATAATTAGAAAGTATTCCTTGTATTTCAATCATTTTAAGTAAATAGATACTGCCCAGAAAAATTTTAAATGAGGATTTATGTTTTTATCACTAGTATTTGTTTTTAATTTTTCACTCTTAGGAAATTAAGACTACTGAATAAATGGTTCTTTGCTGACTAGGCTAATGGTGACACACAAATTATAGTGAAAATGCACTTTGGGCATCCCGAGAATTGAGATGCCAAGATTACATTTTACATCTTACTGATTTGTAACCCACAGGAATCCATTTTTTATTTATGTCCTAGTTTTTATCTCAGTTGTGATCCTTTCACACGGAGGACCAAATTAGAATATGCACTAAGTGGAAACAAATTAGTGCAGATTTCTGTGGGCCGTTTGAGGCATGAACTGGTGTCACTGGCACTGTTGTAAGTGTCTCCATTTCTTCTCTTTACCAGGACAACTGCCCATTCCATTACAACCCAGCCCAGTACGATTATGACAGAGATGATGTGGGAGACCGCTGTGACAACTGCCCCTACAACCACAACCCGGATCAGGCGGACACAGACAACAACGGGGAGGGAGACGCCTGTGCGGCTGACATCGACGGTGATGGTAAGGCGCTCCCTGGCTGCACGTAGGGCCCTAGGTTGTGGCAGTCCTGCTCCTTGGTCTTCCACTTGCTTGAACGTCTCTCCAGTTGTATTCGTATGCAGTCAGGCTGATATGACTCAAGCCAGAGGCTTCAGCTCTTCTTTTCCCCTGTTCTCTGTAGGTATCCTCAATGAAAGAGACAACTGCCAGTACGTCTACAATGTTGACCAGCGGGATACAGACATGGATGGGGTCGGAGATCAGTGTGATAACTGCCCTCTGGAACACAATCCAGATCAGGTTGGTGGGCTCCTCTGAGTCGTTCATAACGTGTTGGGACATCTCCTTCCAAACTATCCATTTCACGGTCACAGTGTTCTCACAGCCAACTGCAGTACTTTCATGTGCACGCCCTGCACATAGTCCACAGAGCTTTAACATGAAGATCTTGTACCTTCAGTCTTGTCTTCTAAAAAATGGCCAACAGGACTTGCCCAGCATGGTCTATCTTTGATAATTCCCTTCCTGACTGATTGTCCTTACAGATTGTTGTTGTTGTTAAGTGCCATCGAGACGCAGGTAACTCATAGTGACTCTATGAAGGAGAGTCCTCAACACTTGTGCCCTACAGATTAGATGTATAAAAATCAAACAACTAAAAAACAACAAAGTAATCAATTCCTATCCTACAAATTTCAGGAGAAATTTATGCAGTTTATGCAATTAACTGCCTCTGAAAATCCACCAAAAAAAAAAGTCCACCAAATCAGCTATGGGGCAGCTCTGAGTTGATGGTACACAACATCAACAACATCATACAAAGTAACTAATGTGCTTTAAAAAAAATTGCTATTTTCCCATAATAAAATGGCCCAGAATAGAAGCTGACATGTCACCAATTTCACAACTGAAATTTCAGGTAAAATAATAAAAGTCAAACATGGAATTCCATATAACATCCAACATACTTAGTTCAGCTTCCACTCATTCTTCATTAAGAATTCTTTTTATTTCATTTATTAAAGTTCTATATTTCAAAAATAAACAATATTTCAAATCTAAACATTCTTTTCAGATTATCACATGAAAATGGAGATCAGAAAGAAAAGCTTTAAATATAAATTCTTTTTGCAATAGCATGCAAATAAATATAAAACCCCATCATGGACCAGATGAAATACTGGAGAATTTCTAGGAGCATCACTTATGTTCAGCATTAATGGTTATCTCTACCATTTACCTTGGTTCTGTTTCCTGTTCCAGCTTGACTCTGACTCGGACCGCATCGGAGACACCTGTGACAGCAATCAGGACATTGACGAAGACGGCCATCAGAACAACCTGGACAACTGCCCCTACGTGCCCAATGCCAACCAGGCCGACCACGACAAAGATGGCAAGGGAGATGCCTGTGACCACGATGACGACAATGATGGCATTCCCGATGACAAGGACAACTGCAGACTTGTGCCCAATCCTGACCAGAAGGACTCGGATGGTGAGTCATGAGAGCCACTTTGGAAGGGAGAAACCAAAGCCATGAGGCTTTCTAGATGCATGAAATGAAAATGGACCCAAAGAGAATAGACATAAGGAAGAGACTAAATGGAAACTTTAATAAGACAGTGGATTTCTGGCTCCAGTGTTAACAGCATTGCAGAATTTCACACAACCTCTTGCCCTTTTTGACCACAGGTGATGGTCGAGGTGATGCTTGCAAAGATGATTTTGACCATGACAGTGTGCCAGACATCGATGACATCTGCCCTGAGAATGTTGATATCAGTGAGACTGATTTCCGCCGATTCCAGATGATCCCTCTAGATCCCAAAGGAACGTCCCAAAATGACCCTAACTGGGTTGTTCGCCATCAGGGCAAAGAGCTCGTTCAGACTGTCAACTGTGATCCTGGGCTTGCTGTAGGTAAGTCATCAGTCCTAAAAAGCTAATAATGTTCCATAAGTAGGAAAGAAGCAAAAATCATAAACTCTGCCAGCTGCAGGTTTTCATGTGGGGTCTGGTGTCTTCCAGGCTATGACGAGTTTAATGCGGTGGACTTCAGTGGCACGTTCTTCATCAACACCGAAAGAGATGACGACTACGCAGGATTTGTGTTTGGCTATCAGTCCAGCAGCCGCTTCTATGTCGTGATGTGGAAGCAGATTACCCAGACCTACTGGGACACCAACCCCACAAGGGCTCAGGGATACTCGGGCCTTTCCGTGAAAGTAGTGAACTCCACCACGGGGCCTGGCGAGCACTTGCGGAATGCTCTGTGGCACACAGGAAACACACCTGGCCAGGTGAGAAGCTGTTGAAACAGAAGGGACTGTCTGCGGGTGCTTGTTTAGCACTGGGGCTGCTGTGCTATGACTAGGATTGCCAAGGGAGAGTCCTAGGTATAAAGGTCTCTCGCATCACCAACCGTAGCACTAAAATCTGCTGTGCTTTGTAAAAACACAGAAGGGGAGGTGGCTGTGCCCAAAAGTTACCCTTCAGATCCAAAGGTAGCTTCAGCCCTGCTCCTTTCTGTTTCAGCCTTAAATGTGCATTTAAGGGGATACACCAAATCAAAGGTGGTCTTAGAAATAAATCCTACACTGCAACCCTCTAATTTAAGTCATCTTGGTGCCTTTTGGGCACTGTTTCTTATGGAATGAAATATAAATCTTCTCACTGGAGCTGTTTCAATATTTCCTTTTCCTTCAGGTGCGGACTCTGTGGCATGACCCTCGTCACATAGGCTGGAAGGATTTCACTGCCTACAGATGGCGTCTCAGCCACAGGCCAAAGACAGGCTTCATTAGGTAAGATTGCACTGGTTACATTTCACTTACAGCCATGTTTATGGGCAAGAGGGGGGAGATGAAAAAGTGGGGTGCCACTAATGGTTTGTGTTTTTTCCTCCTATAGAGTTGTGATGTATGAAGGAAAGAAAATTATGGCCGACTCAGGACCCATCTATGACAAAACCTACGCTGGCGGCAGGCTAGGGTTGTTCGTCTTCTCTCAAGAAATGGTGTTCTTTTCCGACCTGAAATATGAGTGCAGAGGTAGGAATGATATTGCCAGTTGATGTACCTCTAATTATTTTTTTTAAATATTCCACTGCCACCAAGTCAGTTTTAACACATAGCAACCCTGTAGGGTTTCCTAAGACTGTAAAACTTTACAGAAGTGGACCCCATCATCTTTCTCCAACAGAGAGGCTGGTGGGTTCAAACCACTAGCATTTTGGTTAGCAGTCAATTGATATATCTACAGTACCATCATAACTGCTTCCAAATACATGTGAATTGTGGAATGTGAATTTTAGGAGTCTGGCTTGAAGACTGTTCTTAGAGACAGTGCTATTTTCATTTTGCTTTTGAGCCCACAAAAATGAAAACTAAACAACTCTTGTTTCATAAATGTAGCTTATGAAATATGAGTCTTTAACAAAATGTACATACATTGTTGTCAGTTGCTATCCAGACAGCAATGCCTTTAAGAGTATGTTTTTATTTATTTCATGTTTGGTTTTTTTTTTTTAATTTAACAGATTCCTAATCCTCAAACTGTTGATCAAAAGAGTGATCATAGCCAATGCTGGTGTTGCACCTTCTGGAACCGAACCATGGGCTCAAGAAAGCCCCAGGATAACTCGTCCCTTCTCCCTTTTTTCTCTGCTTGCATCAGTGTGAGCTCCTAGGACATATGACCTGCCTCAAGAAAATGCAACTTTCAAAAACAAACTCTGCATTTCCTCTAACAAATGAGAAGACATCTTTCCAGAGCATAAACAATTACTTTTGGCTTGCTTTTTGGAAAAGCACAAGCATCTCCTTGCTTCAGCTGGAAAGATGCCTGCTCCAGTCTGCACCTGTCACAGAGCAGGGCACTGTCCAGAGGCCATGTCTGAGCGCTGGACTCAGTAGCATTTTCAGGCATGTGAGAGAAGGGAGGACTCGGTAAAATTAGCAAACAAAACCACCCCTGACACACGCCCTCTGGAATAGAGGCAGCAGGGGCCAAAGCACTAAGGAGAAGGTGTATGCCTGAGACATGATTGTATGAAGAAAAGACGCAGAACTGTTACATGCTCGGTACTAATCATTTTCAGGGGACTGAAAACTGTTGTTGGATTTCATGATGCTGACCAGTGTTAGCTGATTAACCCACATAAAGAGGCACTTAACGTAGAAGCAGGGAGGAAAAGACTGGCTTCTGGCCTCCCTCCCGGGCCCCTCCTCTTACATATCATGGGCAGTGGCGAGAATAGGGAGCCGACATGAAACCAGTGCAGGGCAGTGCTGGCTGCTATGGCCTGGTTACACTGAAATTGTCGGCTTCATTACAGATGTAGCTTGTGCAGGTGTAGCAGGAAAAAAGGGGAAACTCTACCATCTCAGTGAGCACAGGGCTGCCTCCCAGAGGCTGGGCAGCCGTGCTTGTATTTTTATGGTTAGAAAGGCACAAAATTATCAACCTAACTAAAAACATTCCTTTTCTCTCTTTTTTCCCCTGAATATCATGGAAATTTTCCATTTCTCTCTTTTGGACTCTAGATTTGTTTTGTCTTGTTTTACAATCGCTTTACAGTGTAAAATATTTATTTTTTACATATTCTGGAGAATCTGACTGAAGGACTATTCGTGGACTAGGAAGAAGCGTAAACACTATTCATATCATCCTTGTTACGAGTCTTCATGACTGTAAGATTGTAAATACAGATTATTTATTAACTCTGTTCTACCTGGAATTTAGGTTTCATTTGGAAAGTATTTGAGGTCGGCTAGTGGAGGCTTATCGGCTTATCTTTCCTAAGAATGGCACATGGAGAGGCTGCCTTTCCACTTTGTGCTAAGAGTGAATGATTTGAGATTCCTTTTGTTTTGTTCTAGGTTGAAGGTCCCCCCCCCCTTTGTTATGTCTTTACAAAGAGAATTGATGGTCATACATTTGCAAGTATTTTTAGATTTCAAAATAAGCCCAAGGCCTTTACATACTCTTTGACTCCCATCCCCTGTGCCTATTTCCAGGGAGAAAAAAGCATACACCTTTTTTTTTTTTTTTTCATTTTTCCAAAAGAGAAAAAAATCACAAAGGTGAAACTTATATACAAATATTACCTCATTTGTTGTGTGACTGAGAAAAGAATTTTGGGATCAAGCAGAAAGAATTTAAGTGTCTTAACAAACTTAAAGCTACTGTAGTACCTGAAAAGTCAATGTTGTACATAGTATAAAAATTCTTTGCAGAAAAGTATTCCCAATAAGGAAATAGCATTGAGATGTTAAATACAATTTCTGAAAGTTATTTTTTTCCTATCATCTTGTATACCATTGCTTTATTTTTATAAATTATTTTCTCATTGCCATTGGAATAGATATCTCAGATTGTGTAGATACGCTATTTAAATAATTTATCAGGAAATACTGCCTGTAGAGTTAGTATTTCTATTTTTATAAAATGTTTGCACACTGAATTGAAGAATTGTTGGTTTTTCCTTCTTTGTTTTGTCTTGGTTTTGTTTGTTTATTGCTTTTTACTCCAATTTTTACTATTTGCCAATACCTTTTTCTAGGAATGTGCTTTTTTTTGTACACATTTTTAATCTCTTTTACATTCTAAAGCAGTGTAAGTTGTATATTACTGTTTCTTATGTACAAGAAACAACAATAAAACATATGAAAATTTATATGTATACTTACTGTGTTCATGCTTAATTGTTCTCTGAAAAGTATGTATACTTTATGAGGTATGTGCAAGTTCCATTCTTAGACCAACATAGTGTACACAAAAGAAATTGTATACTAAGTTAAAGTAGCACGGTTCCTCTATGACTTAAGAAAACTAAGTTATTTGGGCCTAGGCTTAGAATACACATTTGCTGGATTTGTTGAATAAAAGAATAAAACAAATGAGCCTGCCAGCTTGAAACCATATAAAAGAGAAATTACCTCAAAGACATAGGTCTCTCTAAAGATACCATTTCATATGTATCTTTTTGAAATGGCATTTATTGATTCCTTCCCCAAGTCCAATTCTGTCTCTAAGAACAATAAAAGCAGGTGAGAAGCATATGTATCCTTTGGCATTGGGCAGACAGCAGGATGGCGTGTAGTTGAGAAGCTTGAGAGTATGACGGAGGAATTGTGCTTAGAAGGTTGAGACAAAAATTTTAAGTGCCACCTTTGGAGATAAATAATATTTTTATGATTTACCAAAAACAGATGTCTAGAGTAATGGAGAATTTGAAAAGAATCCTAGGGGGAAAATATATATACCAAACTATTTTATAAAGAGGAGATCAAACTGTCAAAATGATCATATCTTGATTTCTGATAGGCTAACAATTTCTAGTATAGTAAGAGTTGTTCTGTTATACATAGGGTTTTCAGAGGCCTGCTCTTTTGGAAGTAGATGACCAATCCTTCCTAGGCTATCTTAATCTCAACGCTCAGATTTAGAGTAGTATCTGACTGAGAAGTATTTTATGGAAAAAAAGGAGATGAAGGATATTTCCCAATTGTAGAATTAACCATTAGTTTCAGTGTTGTCCCCGCTCTTAACACAAATGTCTTGACCCACTTATTTCCCTGCTCCTCTATCCACCAGCATCGCCTTCCTCTCCCACCCACTCCCTTCAACACCTATCTCCTGGTGTCCAGCCCTAGATCTGACAGCTTATATCTCAAGCTTTATGGGCTTCTGTGATTCCAAACACTTCAGCTGCTGACAATTTCTTATGCTGTGACCAGTGTCTCTTGCGTTTAGGGGTAAATGTTGCCCAAGCAAAGGTGATGTGTCCTGTAGATCTGGACTGTATGAATTGTTTTCCTGGTCCGAGGGCCTCGACCTGCCAAGCCTCTAGGTCGCATTTACCTGTAGGGTGGGGGTTGCTGAAGTCCCCCCCACTGGGCCCTCTCCTTCCCTTCTGAAAATTTCTATTCCTCACCTTCCACGTGTGCCCACCAGTTCCTGGAGCCGCCTTGACCTGCCAGACCTCTAGCTCGCATTTACCTGAGCTATGAGCCACAGGCGACTCGCAGCACATAACAACAACAGTATATAGTAAGAACAGAAGAACCAATCTTATGGGCAGGGTAAAACTTCTGGTTTTAAGGTCCACCTAATACTTGGGACCTCTGGTGGCTTCCTGAGTAAAGAGTTGAGCTGCCAACTCAGAAGTAGGTGATTGTAATCCACCAGCTACTCTGTGGGAGAAAGATGGGTGATCTCCTCTTGTCAGATTTATAGCCTCATAAATCATGGAGGGTCAACTGTGAGTTGGTTCCAAGCATATAACAACAACAACAACGAACACTATAAAGGACAGCAAAATGGGATTTTTCCCCCTTTCTGATTTTTTTCCTTGCTTATTCTAAACACACACCTCTCTGAGGTTGCATGAAACATATAAATTCCCTAACCATTCTCTAACTCTCAGGTAAAGCAGAGCTGGCAGCATTAGTAGTGGGTGTAGAGTTTGGAGAACTGCTTGTGTAAAGGAATCAGAAGCAAATACATTGTTTTGTCTCAGAATAGCTCAAATTATTAAGTACAGAAGGAGAATCCATAGCACTTTAAGATGACAGGACAAAAGTGACTGAGTATATCAAGATGAGGACATAAAAAGGGACTAAAACTACAACTTTTTTTCAGGGCATGTTCTATATTCACTCTGAAACTGACCTTCAGATCAACAGGCTATAATGAAATAAAAGACTTGTTAAAAATTAAAACTACATCACTGAGGTAATTGCTTGTTCCTCTAAAAAGAGTTTATTGTAGTTTCAGGGAGAGTTAGATTGAAGGGCAATAAACCTTGGATCCTATGGGGAATTTACAATAAAAGTAGTACTAGTAGTTTCCAAAGGATCATAGAAGAAAAACCTCAAATTGGAACCTCCCAAATGCATTCTCAAGGTAATTAGCATTTTTTTTTCTTCCATAATTTATCTTCACTGTCTTGTTTAAGGGCACCTAGGCACAGAGGGAAACTTTAAAATGATGGCATTTAACTTTAAAAGATCAACTTGCCTTTAAATCAATGTGCCTTTCTTTGGTGGCCTAGTGGTAAAAAACTGTGCTGCAATCTGGAAGAAATGAGCTTTGAGGCCACCAGCAACACTGCAGGAGAAAGATGGGCAATCTCCTCCTGTGCCACTGAACTGCCACTGAAAATCCACCAAGAGAGGAAGCTATGGGTCACAGACACATGCTCCGAAGCCATGTGAAACCATTACCTACTTATTCCTTTGTAGTGCTGACCTGGAGATATTTTTTTCCATTTGTTTTTCTGAGAACAGTTATTCTTAGAGCTATTGGCTCTGTTAAGAGAAAATCAAGAAATTAATCTCTCTCTCTGCATGTGAGGATGGTCATCAATATAAAAAACAAAATTATTCTAAATCATTGAATGGATTCTGTAAATATAAACTGAAATAACAACAAAAGGAAAAGACCTCGAGAAAATGAGAACTGAGACTCAAATGAAGACTTGTACACCAATGTCCATCATTGCAAGAACAGGGAAACAGTCCAGATGTCCAACCACAAAGAAATGGATTGAGGAGAAGTCAGGATACATTCACGCAATGGAATACTACACAGCACACAGGAGCAATGATTTTGTAAATTATTACCTAACTTGGGAGGGACTGGAGAGCATTATGCTGAGTGAACTAACTCAGTACCATAAGGACAAATACTGTATGAAACCATTATTGTAGAATGAGAATCAGGATCCAAAGGGGCAGGAGGTAGAAGCAGAGCAGTGAGGATGGGCAGGGAGGAGGGGTGTTAATCATAGAGTCGCACAATTTGATGTGAGGTGAAGGAAATGGGAAAGATTTTGTGTGAAAAACAATGTACTGGAACTTTGTAAATAAATCAGCATAAAAATTTTTTTAAAAATAAAGAAAAGTCAAGGAAATTTTATGTGACTAGTCATATTATCTTACATGAATAGATGAACATAGGCACACACACACACAAAAGAATAATAGTATTACATACCACTCTAACCTTCATCAAGGCAACACAACATTCAGAACTTTTTTCACCTTAGAAATCAATTGAATTTACAGTTCTACTTTTTCATGAATTAAAGCTACTGACTTAAAGGCAAATCATTTTTTTCCTGAAAGAGTATCAAAGAAATGAAGTAGCTGATCTTTATTCACTGTACCCTGGAAGTCTCAAATGGAAAGTAACAAATCAAGTAATTCCATCACACCTTGACTGAAGGAAGCAGTACTGCTAATATGACAGTACATGCCATTGTAATATTGTTTTGTTGAAGAAATTTGTTTCTCTCTCTGGCAAGAGACATTGGACAGAAGGAAACGAAGGTCAAAACAAACAGACCACAAACTCTGAACTACAGTAAGGTTAAAATATATTAAATAAAATACAAAATAATCATAGCACTTTAGCTAGCTTGACCACAGCACACATGAATTAAGACATTAGTTTCTATAATGCAACCCTGATCTTAAGACCAAGTAATAACAATTTCCCCAAGAATTTCAGTGAAGAATAACCATTGAGCCATATTACATGACAAGTCTCAAAAACATCAAGGAAATAAAACTTGTTGACAAAAGTACTATCAAGAAATGGTTGCTATGATGTAATCACTCAACTCAAAGAACTAAAAAATATAAAGATGTTATAATTTACCAATTTCAAAAAATACCCCTGCAAGTCTCTGCTTAATTAAGATTCTTTATATTCTTCTGTCACATCTTCAATCTTCAGTTCATCTGCACATAAAAAAACAAAGAAACCCGCCAAATTATTACATAATCAGAAATTTGCATATTAATTATTAATTAGAAAGTTACTTATAAAAATATTAAACCCTTTTACCCATAAAACAATCCTCACATTCTTATTTTATATATATTGAATCACCACTATAAACTATATACAAAAAATTGCAAGAATAAGTACTTCCCCTCATTGAACTTATAGTCAAGGGAGACATTTTGGGATTTTGAAAACTAAAATGACTATGAGACCAGAGGCAGAAATTAAAATTCTTTTTTTTTTTTTGCTTTATACTAAGTTTTAGGAAAGTAAGATGGAATCAAAAAGTAAATGTTTTATTTAGAGTAAAAACTGCTTTTCATTTCTTCAGTGTGAGGGGAAACTTATGACACTAACAGAAATAGAATGGGAACGTTTTTCTAACCTAACAAGAATCTTATACAGGTTGTGTGTGATTAAACAATACAACGCTGATACACACCTTTCCTGATTTAAGTCATGTGGTATCTCATTGTTGGTCTATATATGGGTTCTATAGGAATACAATTTGGTGTTCTGAAATTCTCATTCTTCACCATGTTATCCATAATTTGTTATAATGTTATTGCTGTTGTCAGGTGCCATCAAGTCTAGGACAACCCATAGTGACCCTACGAACAACAGATCAGAACACTGTCCTGTCCTGCACCATCCTCACATTTCCTGACACACTAGAGCCCACTGCAGGAGTTACTGTCAATCCACCCAGGTGAGAGTCTTCCTCTCCTTTGCCGACCTTCAGCCTTTCCAAGCATCATGTCCGTCTGCAAGGAACAGCCCCTCCAAGTAACACACCCTAAGTACATGAGGCTAAATTTTATCATCCTTGCCTGCAAAGAGCACTCTGGCTGCACTTTCTCCAAGACATATGTTTGTTCTTTTGGCTGTCGATGGGATGTTCAGTACTCTTCTCCAACACCACAGCTCAAAGGCATTAATTCTTCTATAAACCTCATTCATTCTCCAGCTCTCAGATGCATAGCAAGTGATCAGAAAGGCCGTAGCCTGAATGAGATGCACCTTAGTCCTCACACTGAGATCATTACTCCTCAACACTTTTGAAAGGTCCCTAATTGCTGACTTTCTTAGTGCAATATATCTCCTCATTTCCTGGCTGCTAGTATCAAGGGTGTTGACTGTGGATCCAAGTAATATGAGGTTGTTGACAGTTTCACTTTTTTCTCCATATATCATAATATTACCTATCAGTCTGGTGGCAAGAATTTTATTTTTCCTTGACATTGAGATGGCTGTGTTCTTCTGCAACAAATGCTTCAAGTCTTCCTCTCTTTCAGCAAGCAAGCTTGTATCATCTGCACAACACAGGTTACTGGGTGAGTTTTTCTCTGATCTTGATACCACATTCTTCTTCATAGAGAATCCAGCTTCTCAAGAATTTGCTCAACATACAGATTGAATAGGTACAGAGAGAGGATACAACCCTGACACACTGCTCTTTTTCATTTTAAACCATGCACATAACAACAACAACAATGTTCCCTTGCTCTATTCTCAAAACAGCCTCTTGGTCTAGGTGCAGGTTTCTCATGAGCATAATTAAGTACCCTGAGATTGCCATTCTCCTCAATATTAGTCATAGCTTGTAATCATCAACATCATCAAATGCCTTTGTATAGTCAATAAAGTATAAATAGACATTATTCTGTATTTACTTTCAGCCAGGACCCATCTGACATCAGCAAAGATATCCCTGGTGCCACAGCTTCTTCCAAATCCTGCCTTAACATCTTGAAGTTCCCTATCTATGTTCTGTTCTAGCCATTTTTTAATATCTTTAGCAGTATTTTGTTTGCATGTGATATTAATGATATTGTTTGATAGCTTCCACATTCAGTTGGTTCACCTTTCTCGGGAATGGGAACAAATATGAACTTCTTCCAATCCATGGATCAGACAGCTCTCCTCCAACTGATTTGTTTCGATCAACAGATGCAGCCGTGGGTGTGCTAACCAATTTGAGGACAGCTGGCTGGCCAATCTGTTGTAATACACACAGGAAATGTCTTTATATTGTCAATAAAACACAATAAACATTTTTATAGCATTCCCTGCTTTCACCCGATGTCAGCAATTACAGCCTCTCATCCCAGGTCCTCTTCTGAATCTAGCTTGAACTTCTGGCAGTTCCCTGTTGATATACGTCTCCAGTTGGTTTTGAATAATCTTCACCAAGATTTTATTTGAGTGTGATATTAATGATAATGTTCAGTGGCTTCTGTATTCTGTTGGACTACCTCTACCTGGAATGGGCACAAATATGGATCTGTTCTAGTCAGTCATCCAGGAAGTTTTCTTTCATAGTTCTTGGTGTAGATGAGGAAAGCACATCCAGCTCTGCATCCCTTCGTTGTAACATTTCAACTGATATTCCACCAACTTCCAGTCTTTTTATTAAAAAAAAATTCCATTCCTTCCATACAGTTTGTACTTTCTTCAGTACCACTGGTCTGAAGGATCATATGCTACTTGCTGAAATGTCTGAATACCACTAGGATGGGGACAAGTCAACAAAAGCTCTGGTGATGAGTCTGAGGATGAAGAAAACAAAGGGAGCAAAGCCAAGAGTGAAATCTGAGTTGAGAGGAAATGATAAAGAAATTATTTTGAAAAAAAAAATCCTTTGAGGCCACATCCAGATGGAGTTACCTGCCTTGCAGTCAGAAATAGGGACTTAGAAATTACTTTAGAATTAACATATTATAGGTTTCATAGGTAACAGACATAGATTTAATAAGCAAGAAAAAGTAATCAGGACGAGAGATTTTTTTTTTCATCTCTCACTTGTTTTCAATCACTTGCTATACATCTGAGAGCTGCACGATGAACAAGGATGACAGAAGAATGATTGATGCCCTTGAGCCTGTGGTGTTGGAAAAGAGTACTGAACACCCATGGACTGCCAAAGGAACAAATACATCTTCAACAAAGTACGGCCAGAGTGCTCCTTGGAGGCAAAGATGATCAAATTCATCTCACATACTGTGGACATGTTGCTAGGAGAGGCTATTCCTTAGAGAGGGACATCATTCTTGGAAAGGTGGAGGGTCAGCGGAAGAGAGGAAGACCTTCAATGAGATGGACTGACACAGTGACTGCTGCAATGGGTTCAAGCATGTCAGAAAGTGTGAGGATGACACAGGATAGGAGAGAGTTCATGTCTGCTACTTATAGGATTGCTATGGGTCATAGTCTACTTGACAGCATCTAATAACAACAAAAGAAGTAAAAGTTGAAACTGTGAAAATAGACTTGTCAAAAGACTTAAACTAACACCTGAATACATTTTATTCCGTTATTGTCAAAACCTGACAAATTTTATAAGATTGTAAAATCCAATACTGGACCATACCAAAAGTTTCAACAAACTGAAAATGTATGAGTACACTGGGACTGGAAGTCCGTACACAAAATTAATACAAGCACAATAATAAATGGCACTTTGCAAATATATTTCTTGGAATAAATTTTCATCACTGATGCTTGGAATTTGAAATGCTAAACAAATCTATTCAAAGTATTAATTTCCATTCAACCTAATTTATCTTTTCTTCTGAAATTAGCACTGTTTTCTGGATGAGAGAATTAATTAACATCAAGACTAATGTATTCACAAGAGTGACAATCTAAAAAGAAACAAACAAATAACACAAACACCCCGAACAGTGATAATCTCAATCTTGATCTCACCAGAACATTGATAATTATGGTAAGTCATCGTGTGACTTACAATGTACACAGTGATAATCTCAATCTTGATCTCACCAGAACATTGATAATTATGGTAAGTCATTGTGTGACTTACAATGTACCTCTCATCCCAAACTACCTTAAACTATATCTTTACATTGAGATACTTGGTAAGAATTATACACCAAAATATATACTCTCCAAATCTCACCTGTTTTGGGTTTTGAGGGAGAACTGAGATTCAAATGCTGATCTTCTGATGAAAGGTTCTCATTGGTGTCATTCAGCAAATCATCCAAGAAAGAGGGCCTTTTCAGTCTCCCAATGCCAATAGCTTTTGACATATAGTAATCTTCTGTGTCACTAACAACCTCATCCGTAAACAGTGGGAGGCATTTCATATTCTCTCCCTCAGTGACAATGACCTGTGACATGCAATGCCCAGTCAAGGCTTTCGTGAGATAGTAGCCATGAGGTGTTTCACCTTCCACAAACTCCAAGATATTTGCATCTTCTGCCTCAGTCTTTCTGATCCCTGTTTCTGATCCACTTAGTAGCTCAGGAAGAATCAATCTGAAAAGTGGGGGGAACTCAGACATTGTATCCTCAGTGTCTTTGTTTTCTCTTTCTGAAGAAAGTCTAATCATGGAGTTCTGTTTGTAAATGCATTCATCCAGAAGAGATTTTAATTGTTCCTCAGAGAGCAGTGGTGTTGAGTTTAACTGATGAAATAAAGCAAAAATTTTCATAGTCAATTGATTGAATAAACACCATTTCCTTTTTGGTAAGCTTCCAATTATACAATATAACCAGAAGTGCCTGAATTTCCTCATACAAAACACTCACATAGGGAAACAATTCATGTTAAAGTATCAAAAAGAGCCAGATAAATATACAGCCTTTGGAAACATGAATAAGACATTCAAAATCAACCACATATATAAAAATTCAGGGAAAAGTGTCATACCATTGATGGAAAGAAATTAGTGCACCAGTAAATCACCAATTCCCTTTTGATAGGTGGAAGAGAAATAACTTAGACTGAAAGGAAGACATTTAAAACATCATTTTTTTAAAAAAGAACGTTGAGATATAAAGCACAGAAGTAGGCCACCACCTTTTCTATAACCAGGGATCCTGTCAGAATCTCCAGGAAGTGTTTTCCTGTCTCCATCCATTTCTCAGTGTGACCCTCCAGTGGGTTTTCAGAGGCAATAAATTGCATGAGGAGATTGCCCAACTCCCTCTCAAAGTGTGACCACACTCCCACTCAATTCCCTGACATGAAGCAAATAAGGAAGACCACACTTGCCCACCCAGCTTCATCACACCTATGCTTCTCCACAGTTTTAGGCTGCTGACATTCTTACTGATGACAGGAAAGGAAGGGAGGACAAGTGGTGCATCCTGAGATGTGTAGCTACTCCAAAGCTACAGATTCAGGCTGAGGCCAGGGGCATTACAGGAGTGGGGCATTCTGGGAGGAACATCTGATCATATCCATTTAATCTCTGCTTATGAAAGTTATCAGGGTGGGCCTTTTCCCAAAAACCGAGATCTTAAAGATTTAAAAACATGTTTTCTCCTAGTAGTAGCTGTGTCTGCCCAGTAGTAGGAAATAGATAAAATAAATTAAACCAAATTATAGTTCTATACAAATTCAACTGACCAGCGTGCCACTTAAATTGCAACAATCTCTAAAAGATAAGGAATTAAGACATAATAAGATGCTTTATTTTAACTTTAAAAAGACCTTTCCCTTCCCCCCAAAAATCAAAATCTTCCAATTTTACAAAGTAAAATAGGTAAGAAAATACTAATCCTGCTTTTCCGGGAAGTGAATTGTCTAGGAACAGTTTTGTGTGTAAGAAAATTTAAGCATGAAGAGCCTTCATCTTAATTTCTGACTCAGTAAAGTCAATGACAGCAAAAATATTATCACATTTTGAAAGTACACAGTAAACATTAATATTCTAAGCGACTCGACGGCACATAACAACAACAACATATGGAAAATACTAAGGGGGGGAAATCTCAGTTATTGGAACTAGGACAATTAACTCTTCATCACTATATATTACTTCTAAGGTGATTAACAAAGAGTAGCAGATAAAGCAAGTTTTTCATAAATTATATAAGTGATTTAAAATTACAATTCACTTCCTTGGAACTCTGGTGGCCTAGTGGTAAAGAGTTGCACTGTCATAACAAAGGCACATGGTTAGAATCCACCAGTTAATCTGTGGGAGAATAGGCAATCTTCTTCTGTCTGATTAACTCTCTCTGTAAATCAACGGTACACAACAACAACATATTAAAGCCTATTGTGCTAATGCGAAACCTATACTTGGACCAAGAGGCAGTAGTCAGAACAGAGCAGGGTAACACTGCATGGTTCAGTATTGGGAAGGGTGTACACCAGGGATGCATCCTGTCTCCATACCTTTTAAACATGTATACAGAGCAGATTATTCGAGAGGCTGGGCTCTACAAGGAGACTTGTGGCATCAGGATCGGTGGAAGATCTATTAACAATCTGCGTTATGCAGATGACACAACCCTGCTTGCTGAAACTGAGGAGGACCTCATGCACTTGCTGCGAAGGGTCAAGGACTGCAGCCTTCAGTATGGACTGAGGCTCAATGTCAAGAAGACAAAGATTCTCACCACTGGACCAATTGGCAGCGTCAGGATGGATGACGAAGAGATTGAGATTGTTCACAGCTTCAGTTTGTTCAGCTCCACAGTCAACACTCTTGGCACCAGCAGTCAGGAAATCAAAAAGCGTATCGCGATGGGAAAGTCTGCTGTTAGGGACCTCTCTAAAGTACTCAGGAGCAATGGTGTCTCTCTGGAGACTAAGGTGCGCCTGATACAGGCCATGGTATTTGCAATCGCTTGTTATGCATCAGAGAGTTGGACAATGACTAGGGAGGACAGAAGGATAGTGGATGCTTTTGAGCTGTGGTGCTGGAGAAGGGTACTGAATGTACCATGGACTGCCAGGAAAACAAACAGATTCATCTTGGAGAGGATTAAACCAAGCTGCTCCTTGGAGGCAAGGATTCTGGGGCTTCGTCTGATATACTTTGGACATGTTGCCAGGAGGGACGGGTCCTTGGAGAGGGACATCATGCTTGGGAGGGAGGAGGGACAGCGCAGGAGGGGAAGACCCTCTATGAGATGGATTGATTCGGTGAATGGGGTAATCGGGATGGGTGTGTCAGAGGCAGTGTGGTTGTCGCAGGATAGAGCAGGGTTTAGAGCTGTTGTGCATAGGGTCGCTATGAGTCAAAAACGACTCAACGGCACATAACAACAACAACAATAACATACCTAACAAAAAAACTATGAATGTGAAAGTAATAAATTATCTGGAAACATATTTTTCATTAATCTGATAGTAAAAACTCACAAATTCAACCTAAAAGTTAATATACATGTCAACAAACAAGAGTTTCACTCTACTGTTAGGCACTAAATATTTAGGGCATTCAGATGTGTGTTTTTCCACCATTACCATAATATCACTAAAAAGAACAAGTTTGTCAGTTTAAAGACTAAGGGGCACCTGACCTAAATCATGTCTTTTAAATTGCTTCTTATGTATATGAAAGTTGAACAATAAATACAAATGTTGTTGTTATTGTTGTTAAGTGCCATCGAGTAAGAAACGAGATGACAGAAGAAAAATAGATGTCTTTGAATTATTCTGTTCCAGAAAAGTACTAAAAACCCCATGGACTGCCAAAAGAAGTAGTTTGTCTTGGAGAAAGTGCAACCAGGGTGCACTTAGAGGCAAGGATATCATCTCAGATACTCTGGACATATTTTCAGGAAGGACTAGTTCTTAGAAAAACACATCATGTGGGGAAAGTGAAGGGTCAGAGAAAAAGAGGAAGATCTTCAACAAGATGGACTGATACAGTGGCTGTAACAATAAGCTTGAGCGTATCAGAGACTGTGAGGATAACACGGGAGAGGGCAGGGTTCAGACCTATTGTTCATAGAGGATCTGTGAGTCTTAGTTGACTGAATGGCATCTAACAACAACAACTGCCACAATGTCAAGAGCTAATTATCAGTAGCATTCCCTACATCCTATTAGGGAACTAGAAGATGGAGGTAATCTGATGCTGTTGTATTGTTGGGTACTGTCAATTCCAACTTACAGTGGGATGACAGAGGAGAACTGTTCCACAGGGTTTTCTGGGCTATGGTTTTTATTGGAGCAGACTGAATACTGTCTTTTCTCCAATAGAGATACTGGTGAGTTCCAACCACTACCACTTTTTCAGTTAGCAACCAAACATTTAACCATTGCAGAACTATGGAACCTTTAAAGACTAGTTGTTGTTGTTGTTGTATATTGTGGAGTTGGAATTGACCTATATGTGACTTTCCAGTGGATTTTCAAAGGTAACCAATGACACAGAAAGAGATTTCCTATCTTTCTCCCACAGAGAAGCTGGTGGATTCCTTTGTGGTGTATACCTTTGTGTTGACAGTGCAGATATCTCATTCAAGTATTAATCAGATCTCAGTCTTGTTTCGTTTCCAAGATCACACAAAATCAGGGGCCTTCAGAATGTGTGGTCATTGTATGGTGTTAAGTATTTTAATTGAAAATTTACTTAATTTGTTTATGTAAAATTTCTTAAGGAGACAAACTCCTACAATTCAGAAAGAATTCACTTGGTGCCATCCTCCTCACCAAACATCTTTGCCAAAGACTCATCACTATAAAATCTCCAAACACCAGAAACAAAGAGAGTATCTCAAAACTTTCCCAGAAAAATACAGATCTCATGCAAAAGACCTAGAATCAAAAAAGGCATTATATGGAAGGAAGTACCTGGGGCTGTCCCCACCCTGGATAGGGAGTGCATCAGTCAGGGGGAACCTGGTCTTCAGCGTACTAATCAACATTGTCAATAAAAATTTAAAAAATGAAAATAAAAATCAGTGAGATTTTTCTACAGTAGTAAAGAACACATGCAAGAAGAAACTAGAGACACTAAAAACTTTTATAAGGAAACTACAAAACACTACTACATGAAACAATAAGAGATCTAACTAAACAGAAAAATATTCCCTGTTCATAAATAGGAATACTCAATATAGTGAAAATGGCAATTTACCAAAAGCCATCTATGTGTTTAAAGCAATCCCAATACAGCTACCAACCTTATTTTTCAAAGAGAAAAAATAATTGGCCAGTATATTAGGAAAAGAAAAAGAACTTGAAACAAAAATGAAGTGGGAGCCACTCCCTAGCCTCAAAACTACACAGCCATAGTGACCAAAACAACATAGTATTGGTAAAATGAGAGACATATAGACCAGTGGAACAGAATCAAGAACCCAAGAATTAGCCTATCTACCTATGGCTAATTGGTTTTTGACAAGAAAACAAAACCTATCAAATGAGGAAATGACAACCTCCTTAACAAATGATGCCGTCAAAACAAGACATCTACTTGCAGAAAGCTGAAGCAGGATTCACATCTCACACCTTACATAAAACTCAACTCAAGGAGGACCAGAGTACTAGGGGTAAAGCCCAAACCATAAAGATCATGAGACAAAACGGGTCACACTTAGAAGCACTAGCCTATGCCTTGCAAAGACAGCCAAAAATACACAAGGAGGGAATAACATCAATTAATGGGATTTTCTAAAAATGAAGTACCTCTGTGCATAAATTTTTTTTCCAATGACA